TATCCTTGTTGTAAAGAATACAATTTCTTTGATATTAAGAGGATATTTATGAACGATTTCTATTAGGACACACTCTTTAATATCTTCTTACAGTTGTGGCATGTTAAATTCGAGTATGTCATCAGTAGTTCTGTCCAAATAGTTTAGAGATCTTCCTCATCTTTGTATTCTTGTTTATTTTCTACAGGTTCTTATTGGCGATTACCGATTAGTATAATATGATGCCTCCTATGGGCAAAAAGCATTGTTGTGGATCTTTATTACCTCTTGATGTGCTTGGTAACCTTCCTGAGAATGTAATTGATGATATTCTTGTGCGTTTGCCTTTACAAGATGCTGTGAGGACAAGCAAGCATCTTATCGAATAAATGGAGATATAAGTGGTGCAAACTTCGAGAGTTGACGCTTGATAAAACACTTTGGAAAAATAAAAAGGATTTAAGATTCCTTACAATTTACTTTAGAAAGATTATCCACCACATTTTGACCCTTCATTCAGGACCAGTTAAAAAGTTCACTCTCTGTATTGATTTTTTGGAAAGTTCTCCAAGTAATATTGAGGACTTGATGATTTTCCTCTCTAAAAATGGCATTCAGCATCTTCTTCTTAAACTTCCTATAGGGAGGAACCCGCACGAATTGCCTTCTTCATTTTTCACATGTTTGCAATTGAGGCATCTGACTCTCCAAAGTGGTCTTATACTTCCTCCACCATCCTTCAAAGGATTTGATCGGTTAATTAGCTTGGAATTACGTGATGTAACAATCTCTTCTAAGTTGCTTGAAAGTTTAATCTCTCATAGCCCGTTGCTTGAGCAATTGGTGCTGCAGATTTCAGACGTTTTAACTGACGTCATTGAAATTAATGCTCCCATGCTGAGAACCTTCGACTTCACAGGCCGTATAAGTTGTATCTGCTTAAAAAGTGTTCCTCTTTTGGAGAAACTTTCACTTCAAGATGCAGAATTATACTATTTGAAGGCAGCAGAAAAATGTGATATTGCAAAATTTTTTGAACCTTTATCTACTCTCGAGCATCTCCACCTGGCTAACTTGGTATATGTTGCTTGATTTTACTTCATCCTAATGTATTTTCCATTGAGGGAACATCTTCTGCACTTTTTAATCATCCTGATTTTTGGCATTTTCTTCCTAGTTCTTGTCTCCTGGAGCAGGTGAAATACCACCAAGTATTCCCTTTGTTCTTCACTCTGTCAAACGTCTTTGCCTATCTGGTATGTATTTCGATCCATTGGATGTGGTCACATCTGCTCTTTGCTTGATAAGAAGCTTCCCAAATTTACAATCTATGGAAATTCAGGTTCTTAGTGATTTGACTCTCTCTTTCTTATGCAGTGGCTATCTTGTTTTCTTATTCCTTTTTATCCTCAATAAATTCAGATAGTTGAGCGTTTTTTAATATATCTTAGGTGGCGTTATTTTACAATGATGTTCCTGCTCCAGAATCTCTTCAAGTGGAACGTTTCTCAAATGTGACGTTTTATCGCCTCAGAGAAGTTAAGTTAGAAGGTTTTATTGGCACAAAGCCTGAGATGCAGCTTGTGGAGCTTCTCTTAGCCAAATCTCCGGCGCTGGTGAGAATTCTAATCAAGCTCAGCAGGTCTGCTAAAGATTCTGCAAGAGCCAAAATACTTGCTGTGCTATCAAAAATTAAGCTCGCGTCACCTAAAGCAGAAGTTGACTTCATCTTTTGATCTTTATGAGTCTTATCGGACCATGATATTTGGCTAGAATTTTGGAAGTTGAAATGATTAGGTTGATACGAATCTTGATGCCATGTTTTCCTTTGCCATAAGAGACAGAGAAGTCTGAATCATTTTGAAGACATGAAGGAATCTGGATGGATGTTTTGACTAGTCTGTTATTCGATAGTAATTGTTACTACATTGCTAAAGGTTTTTATGTTTCGTGCTTGTTCTTGTGCAGTCTACGATATTTTATTTCAAAGTCATAAAACTGGATAGCTCTGTGCACTAAGCTTCCACTATGCGTGAGGTTCAGGGAACGGCCAGACGACAAGGGCTTGCATTTCAAAGTTATGTTGCTGGTATTTTGGCTACCATTAGTTGGCTGACAGTGCATAGAGCAAGTTCATCGGTCATAACAAAGCGATCAAGATTTACGAGTTTTAGAAATTCTTCTAAAATTATTTTTCTTGTCGGTGAACCCAGACTAAAATCCATTTGGTTTTCAATCATTTTTAAACCCATTTGAAAAATCCATTTCGGATGCAGTTGGTTCAAGATCTGTATTAATCTTGACGATATTATCACTGCTAATGCTAATATCATTTATTCTATTGCTTTCTCTAATTTGAGACGTGGATGCTCTAGATGGAAAATCTACCACGTAATCAATTGGAGAAATGTATGAAGAATTTGATCTAGTCAACCTAGATGATAAACTGATATTATCAGTTTGTACGGGTTCATTGAACCTGATTTTAACAGTGTCATATGAGGTTTGTTCTATTTCTGTAACCTCAGTATTACCAGTGTTTCGAGGTGCAACAGCTTCCTCTATGACCCATTCTTTAGGGAATTCAATTTCATTAGCTCTCTATTTGTCTCTACAGATTATGAGGCCTGAATACAAAAATCCTCGGCAACGAGGAAAAGGAAGGGCATCTACTAATAATAGAGAGAGTAATACTCTCGCCCA